AGATTGTGGCATGGCCATCCCCTCTGGGGGGTGATTTCTTGCTTTCTGTCTCTATGTCTCTCTCTGTCTGTCTGGCGAGCGCACGCGCCCTATAGTGAAAAACCTCTCAAAAAAAAAAAAAAAAAGGCCACCTACCACACTAACTCACAGTTATGAGTTACTCACAGTTATGAGTTAGTACAAAATGCAAGTAAGTAACTGAACAACGATGTCCATATTCTTATCTCGTGGTCCCAAGAGGACTATGCTAAGGAAGCAAGTAGCAGGCCAGGGGATCACATTCACCTGCCACTCTTCTGACAGACTAAAACCACATGCCCAACACCTGCATACAACCGCCAGAATACCCACTGCCTGGGTACCTGGCTGGCTCTGGAGTGTCCCTTCTACACACATCAAAATTTAACTACATCTACACTGGCTGTTCCTTTGAAAATAGAAATGGTATCAGAATATGACTGTTGTGCACTGTGCTTTTCTACTCTATTAATGGTAACAATCTACCCAGGTTTATTTCATTCCTTTTAATGGCTGAATGATACTTATCACAGGAGTGGGTATATTTACAACTATACTGATGAATTTTTAATCTGTTTCTCAGTTGTGCTGTGACACTGCTGCAGACAACATGCTCAAATACACATGATGGCATCTGCACAGATATTTCTCTAGAACATACGAAGGGATGCAAACAGTAAAGGGCACAAACATTGGATGTACCACCAATGTCTTACCAACAGCGAAACAGCCCAGTCATTGACACTTCTGACATCCCAGTGAGCCCACAGTATTTTAATTTACACTGTTTACGTTAGTAGAGAGGTTCAGCATCCCTTCCTCTTTTAAGTTGCCAGAGGGCAGGTGCATTCACAAGAGACAGAAAGAGAGAGAGGGAGAGCCCTACAATGAGGTATAGTTATGCCATAATCCCTTCTTCATTTCCTGTTGGGTTTTGGGACGCACACACACATACCCAGCATGTTTTTCAAGCTGCCGAAGACTGAGATTCAAACTGCAGTCAACCATGTGGGATCTGGATCCCTTAACCACCAAGCTATGGGGCCTGGCCAGCACCCTTTCCTTTTTACTGGGCATGTGTATTTTTTGGGGGGAGGGAGGTGGCGGGGGGGGATGGTCACACCACAATCTCTGCTCCTCCATTCTCCTCTTGGGAGCTTGGGCACACACGCACATGTGCCTGGCTGGCATAAGTTTAAGTCACCGGATCCAGGACTTGAACCATGGTCAATGACATGGGAGCTCAGTCACGTAACCATTACGCCATCTGCTGGTCTCTGGGCATGTGTATTTTTACGTGTGCCCAATCTAGATGACCTGCTATGTCTTTACCCTGTGTGTGTGTGTGTGTGTGTGTGTGTGTGTATAGAGAGAGATGTTTTGGCTTAGGGGACGTGCATTCCCTGGAAAGAGAGAGAGACAGCGAGAGGGAAAGAAAAATCACCCCCTGGGGGGATTGCTATCCACAACCCCTTTCTGTTCTTCTTCCAGGATATGGCCATGCACATACACATGCCTGGTGTGGTTTTCCATCCACTGGGTCCGGGACTCAAATCTCAGTCCACCATATGGGAGTCCAGTGACATAACCGCTACGCCATCTGCTGGTCCTATCCTGTTTTATCTTTTTAATTGACTACTGATACTATCTCTATATTCTGAATATCAAACTCTTCATAACTGTGCCAAAAACTTTCTCATGGGATAACACTTAAGTTTTAACTTTAGTACCTTTTCTCCATAACAGTTGCTCCATTTTATATAACTATTTTATCAATCTCTTAAATGTTGGAGATAAATTTAGCCTTTCAGCCTCTCCTATTTTTGTTTCTGATGGGGTAACTTTTTAAGCACATAATATATTCCTTCTGGCACCCTCACTCCTGTCTGCTACTTGACACTGCCAATTCTGTTGCTAGAACTTCACCTGGTTTCTACTGGCTGCTTGAAGATCATCCTTTAGCAGTTTCTCAGGAAGGACTTGTTCCTTTAGTTCTCTCATGTTTCAAACTGTTTCTCTGTAGCCATTATGCCTAAAGAACCATGTGACTTGATCAATTTTTAAAAATAATCCTATGGGTGCTGCTTCCCTGTCCTTAGGGATCAGATTCTGTTGTGAGAAGCCTCCAGGGGGGATGGCCATGCCTCAATTTCCTCTCCTCCATTTTTCCTCTTGGGATTTTGGGCATGCACACACACACACCTGGCGTGATTTTCAGGCTACCAGGTTCAGGACTGAAACCAGAGTCTGCCATGCCTATGTGGCACCTTAACCTCCATGCCACCTGCTAGCCCCACTTTTCTTCCCTTTACAATTTAATTTCCTTTTTCTGCCTAGCTATCCAAAGGACTCTTTGTTCTGTGCAGTGATTTTATTAAGCTATTTATTATGTCGACCATTCTGGATCAATTCTCCTCAACTACACCATATTCATGCAACTACCAGACTCTGATCTGAACCTTGGCTGGGCTGTCTCCTGCCCTACTCTGGCTCATGGCCACACACAGCACCTCTCCCAAGCCTGTCCTGGGTTTAGACTCTGTTCTCACTCATCTGTTTCTTCCTTCCGCTGCATTTTGCTCTAGCCATGTCTACCACCGTGTCTGTTCCTGAGCTTTCTATTCTCTCAGGTGCTCCTGTGATTTAGGTCCCATTTTAGAAGTAGTTTTGTCTTTTCCTTCTGTTTCATTCCTGAGTTCTCCAAGTTTCCAATTCAGCAGTCCCTTCTGTCTGGCACTCTCTCTCTTTTTTAAGAGTTATTTTATGGGATGGCAGGTGGCGTAGTGACCGGGAGTGCTGGATTCCCACTTGGCTGACTGGTTTGTGTCCCGGACCTGGCGGCCTGGTTTCTCACTATCTCACTCTCTCTCACTCTGTCCCTGTCTGGTCAAATTATAAATAAACAAACACACAAACAAACAAATAGTTGAATAGAATAATTATTTTTTTAAAAAGTTATTTAACTTTCTCTCTTTATTTATTTTTTTAAATTTTTAAATTATTTTTTACCAGAGAGAGACAGAGTGAGAGAGCAAAAGCAAGAGAGGGAATATGAGAAAGCAAGTCACCATGTCCAGGACTCGAACCACAACCATGTGGGAGTCCAGCACCAGTATCCACCACGCCACCTGACAGCCCCATCTGGCTGTCTCTTGAGTTCTCACATTTTAAAAATTTATGTTGAGTATTGAGGTGTAATTTTCATCGCAATAAGGAAGTTCTATTGTTCCTTCTTAGGGTTGTTTTATACATAACCTTTCCATCATCATCCTCTGAACAAGTTGGATTTCTGGAGCAGTTACTAGCTGAATTAGGTGGGGTGGTTTCTAGGTTTCTTATCACAGGA